AGACAGGGTCTCACTCTGTTACCAGGCTAGAGTGCAGTGGTACAATCATAGTTCATCGCAGCCTCGACTCCTCAGCCTCCTGAGTAGCTGGGAGACAGGTGAGCACCACTACACCCAGCTAATTAAAAAAAAAAAAATATATATATATATATATACACACACACACACACACACAGACACACAGAGTGTGTGTATATAATACATATATGTATTATGTGAAATGTTGTGTATATATAAAATACGTGTGTGTATTTACACTTTTGTTGCTCAGGCTGGAGTATAATGGTGCGATCGTAACAGCTCGCGAAAAGGGTAGATCTCCCTGGGCTCAAGGGATCCTCCTATCTCAGCTTCCTGAGTGGCTGAGATTACAGAGATGCACCACCATGCCTGGCTAATTTTTGTATTTTTGTAGAGACGGGGGTTGGGTGCGCGGTGGGCCGCGGGTGCGAGGTGGGGTGCGCGGTGGGCCGCACAGGGGCCCTGGCTATGTTTGCAGGCAGGATTCACAGGACCTCAGGTGTGTCGAGAGTGCCTCCAGGGCTCTGGCCTGAGCAAAGGGGAGAGTGGATTTCCAGCTAGCTGAGATGCGGCACCGTCCCCCATCAGGGGAAGATAAGGAGTTCAGTTTGGGTCTAGCAAGTTGAGGTCCAACTAGGCTGGTGATTGCGGGGAGGCCCAATGGGGGATAGAACGACGGAGACAGAAATAGCAGCTGGAGGAGGGTGGCAGGGGGGCCGGAGGCGGGCGTGCACTAGGCACAGCTGGCAGGTGAGCGGGGTGGCTCCTCTGATCCCTGGATCTCCAGCTAGGACAACTGGTCCCTCCCCTGGCCCCAGGTGGCCCGAGCCCCACCGCTGCTTGGGGTCTTCCAGGACACAAGTCCTGGAGAGGATGCTGGGGGCTCCCTGGGCCATGCTCAGCTCTCTCTTGGGAGGACGCCGGGGGCTGCTGAGGCTGCACTCAGCAATCCCATGAGCCGTTCCCAGTCGGGCCCTACCCTCTCCAACCATGGGAACTCAGCAGCCTCTGGGTTGCCAAGCCCAGTCCCTTTTCTGTTCTCCCAGCTGGCCCCTCGTGCCTGGTCTCTCCTGGCCTTCCAGGCTGCCCCTCCGCATCTCCCCCTCTGCTCGGTGTCTCGGATATCGGAGTGCCCAGTGCTCGGCTCCAGCCGCTGTCTCTCCCTGCCTCCGTGCAGATCCCCCAGAGCCCTGACTGTAAGCACCCATGCCCAGGACTCCCTGGAGGTCGTCTCCACAGCCTGCCTGCCCACAACAGCAACTGAGTGTACACGTGGCCGCTCCTGCAAGTGTGGCCCCAACTCCTTACCCACCTCCCATCTGGACCCTGCCAGCCTTTCCTGCCTTGGGGAGCAGTAGAGCCCCCTGCAAGGCTGCAAACAGAACCTCAGCGTCTTTCTGGAATCCTCCCCTGTTCTTCCTCTAAGGTCACCTTCAAACACGACCCTACACCTGACCACCACCCACCACCTCCTCTGACGCACACAGGTCTGAGCCACCAGGTGGTCACACTTCTCAGGCCCCAGGACCACTGGATACCCCTCATGGGGCTTTGGGAACTGCTCGCTCGTCGTCCTCCTCCCTGCATGCAGTTCTTTCTCAGCTGTGCAATGGCTGCCGGGCGTCTCCAGCACAGCCAAGGCCACGGCCACGGCCATGGCCACAGTCAACGGCCAACTACGGCGTTTTCACCCCTGCCCTGCTGCAGTTCTGCCCATCTCAGGGCAGAAAACTTGGGATCCCCCCACCCCTCCCCTCATATCCAGCCCACCAGCAAATCTTGCCCAGAATCCCACAGCGTTGCACCACCTGGCCAGTGGGCTGCCCCTCCTCTGGATGGCCCCAGCTTGTGAGCGGCTCCTGGCCTCGGCCCTGCCCCCCTGTGGTCTATCCCCAGCACTGCAGCTGGGGGCCCTCCCAGAACGTCTGCCAGCTGCATCCCTCGACTCCATAGCCCCACGTACACAGTAGGCGCCTAGTAACTTTGCTGCACTGATTGGCTTCCCCTGGCCCCAGGGCCCTGTCCTGCCCAGAGGCTTCACTTTCTGCAGGAACACAGCGGGCACCGGCTCCATGGGGCACACAGGGGGTCCAAAGCTCTGGACCCGTCCATGCTGCTCCTTGGCACAGGGGCGGCCACGTTCCCGCAACGGATGGATGCCCGCCATGCGGAGGGGCAGGGTGAGAACAGGCCGAGTCCAAGGGTGGACAGCCCAGGCGCTGCAGCGAGACAGGCTGGAGCCCCTCCATACAGAGGGTGCAGGAGAGCCAGGGGTGTCTCCCATCACCCCGGCTAACCTCCTGAGACCCTAAAGCAGAAGAATAGAGGCCCCAGGTGGAAGTGGGGGGCAAGGGGCCATGAGCTGGAAATCTGGGAAGTCAGGGAGACTCCCAGGTGTGGGTGGACAGCGCCCAGCTCCGACGTCTTCAGCGCTCAGCCTCCTCTAGAGGGGCCCCACGCGTCCAGCTGTTGGCTCCTTCCTTGCTACAGGCAGGAGAAGTGGGCAACGTCTCTGTGTCCACCTCAGGGTTGGGCATTGATCAACCCCAGTGTGTGGGAGCCGCAGACTCAGAACGTGGCCTTGTTTGGCCAGAGCCACCATGGGATTATCCAGTCCCCCATGCGGAAGGACGGTGTGGAAAGCAAGTGAAGAGCATGGCTGGGATTGCGGGAGGAGGGGCTGAGGCTGCATGGCTGCGATTGCGGGAGGAGGGGCTGAGGCTGCAGCTCTCCAGGCCAGGCTTCCCTGCACCCCCATCTGCAGCAAGTAACCAGTGGCTCCCATTGGTCCCCACAGCCGAGCGGCTATGGTCAACTCTGTCCCAATCACAGAGGAGATTGAGGCTCAGAAAGAGGTGTCACTGTCCAAAGACTCAGCTTGCAGGTGCCAGAGAGACAGACTCCGAGCCCACACCTGGAATCCTGTGCCAGGTTGGGGGCAATTGGTGGGACCAGTTGAGGGCTCAGATAGTGTCCTGCAACCCAGACGCCTCTTCCCAGGGCCAGGCTGGCCCAGCGGGCTCCAGAGCAGCCGCTGTACTTTGATAGGAATGACCAGGGCTGCACAAAACCACCAACTCCAATACAACTCTATCCGCTCACTTTGGGTTTAAAACCCTTTGGGCAGAATACCATTTTCTCTCTCAAAACATGTTCCTGCAGTACGATGAGGTCATGAATACTCTCTCTGGCACAGAAACAGGGAAACTGAGTCACCACCCAGCCCATTAGGATGGCCCCGCCTAGCCTGCCTCCCCCGAGAAGGAAGAGGTGTTGGAGATACGGCTGGCTCTGGGTACTGCCTCCACCTGCTCCTGGCACTCAGCCTCACACAAAAAGGTGCCCAGTTGACACTTGCTGATGGGACAGATCAACAAATGAACAAACGAACCACAGTAGTCCTCAGTCTAAAAAGAAACACAGTGATGGCACAGCTGGCCATTGCTGACGCCCAGGGCACTGGGCAGCAGCAGCCGAGTGGACACCAGCAGCTCCTGCAGGCAGAGAAGATCTGCAGGCCAGGGCAGCAGGGTTCCACCTCCCCACCCCTCCCGGGAATGGAGTCTGCGTGGCCGCATACTCAACCTTGGTGGAGTCCCCCAGAGAGTGAGTCACATGGCGACATCTGCTCCATTCAAGGGAAAAGATTGTACCAGAGTCCCCCCAGGTCCCCAGGCTTCTCGGCTGGCCAGGCAGTGACACTGGCCTCTCCACCCGAGGCTGTTCCAGGTGGTCCAGCAGCCAGGAGACAGCCCCTCCCAGCTCACACACCTCCTGAATCAAGAGTCTGGGGGTACAAGTCTGCCCCCCCAGGAGCCCCAGGCCTGCTGTGTGTTTCTAATAGCAATGTGTTGGTGGATACACATATCAGTGAACAAGTGGGTGACAGCCAGACAAGGGAGAGAGGGACACCCCATGCCCGATGTAGCCGTTGCCTGCTCTGGGCTGCAGTCCCAGCTCTGGGTTTCAGATAAAAAGATCACACAGGCAGGTGGAGAGGCCATGGTGCCACCAGACTCGCATGCATGGAGCCAGCATCCGGGCATGCTGTGGAGCTGGGTCACCCACACCCTCACCCACCCTCTGGGCCACACACACATTGCCTCTCTTCTCAAAGCCTTGCCTGGGAACACACAGCCACAGGCACGAACATACATGTACCCATCACAACACACACACAGAAACACATGAGCACCTACCCACCTAAATCACACAATCACCCCTGCAGTACCAATCCGCACACACGAACACACACCACAACACATATGCAAACAAGTGTACGCACACACACACACACCCCAGCCTGTACACACACCCATAACACACACACATCTGCACATATCCTCACCTGCGTATTGCATGCACATCCACACTGAGACACACACATGCACGCACACCAATACCCACCTGCCGCATGCACACTGGTGTGCACACTCACACGCATTGCTGTCACACACACCCTGGTCACACTGCCTGGAGCCCACGGCTCCAAAGGCCTCCGTCCCTAGATCTTTGTGCCTCTGCATCCTGGTGCCAGCAGAGCTTGGGGGCACTTGGACTCTGCCTGCCCGCCCACTGTCCCCCGCCCATGGCTGAGTTTCCCATGTGGCAGAGGTCCCCACGGCCCCAGCTGTCTGCTTCCCTGGGAGGAGGAGCGGCCCTGCATGGAGCAGCTGTACCCAGCCTTCCACCTTCTCAATTAGCAGCTGGTGCCTGCCTGGCAGCAGGGACCTGGCAAATCTGGAAGTGAGGCCAGGTCCCCAGGGCTCAGGCTGCAGGGGCCAACCACAAGCTGCAGGCCCTTCCCTCCCCTCTGCCAGGCCAGCTGCCCACTGCACGGGGGACGGCGCGTGAGAGGCCTCGAGCCCAGTTTGCCACAGGTCCTGGCCCTGCAGCTCAGACCCACGCGGAGAAGAGTCCGTGAGGCTGACAAGAAGCCCCGTCTGCCACTGCTGTCAAATGAGCACATTCCCAGGTGAGGGTGGGGCAGCCTCACACCCAAGCCCAGGAGAAAGGTGACTTCCAGGGCGCACTGAGCTCCTGGCGGCTGCAGCAGAGCAGCGCAGCTCGGAAGCTCTGAGCCCGGACCGAAGCCAAGGAGCATCAGAGACCCCCAAGCACAAGGCAGAAGCATCAGCAGCCCCATCGGCACAGACCCGGCCTCCTCTCCCTAGCTGTGGGTCCCTGCCCAGCAGGTGGGCACAGGCTGTTGGAGCCCGAATCTTCCCTGCCTCCATGCCTGGGACCTGCCTCTAGCCCCTCAACGCCTCCCTTCCTACCTCTGCTCTCCCCAACCGGCAGCAGACACCGGGCCAGGAAGGCAGGCAGAAGGATGCCCCTCTGAACACCCCACCGCAGCAAAATCCCCTGCAAAGTCCCCGAAGAGGTCCTGTGAAGGGCACGTCACACCTACCGTGGCGAGGTGCCGTGCGGGGTCACCGACGTACAGCATGGTAGGCGCCGGGGGGTCTGCACACGCCGGGGAACTGGTGTCCCGTGGGACGAGGCATGGGTCTGGGCGGCCCGAGGGGAAGGGTCAGGGTCGTGGCCGCCCGGCAGCGTGGACCGAGGGGGAGAGACTCGGCAGCTAGGGAGGCGGGAGCCGAGGATGCTCGGGAACATGCGGGCCGTTTGTTGGCATTTTCGCTTTTCCCATCTCCTCAGTTCTGTCAACTGGCTGAATCCAACAACAAAACCCGCGGCCCACCCCTTTATTCCTCGTGAGTATTCATCCAAGTCCGGGGCAGGCCTCAGCTTGCCCAGTGATGTGTTGGACCGCACCAAGGAGGCTGCGCGGGGAGGGCGAGGACGCCGGTCAGCGCCGGCTCCATAATTAAACCCACCAGGGCTCCTTCCGAGATGCTGCCTGCCTGGGGAAGGCTCGGGGGGCCCCAGGCCCTCACCCAGCAAAGCAGCCTCTGTTCCCAGGCATGAGGGCTGAGCCCTGGCCCTGGAGATCATGGTAGGCAAGGCTGGGCCACCCCAAGGGGGAGAGATGGTGTCACCTCCCTTGGCGACCCAGGTGGGGCGCATCTCCCCCCTGCATGGGGAACTCGGTGGTCCGCCGGGACAGTCCAAGGCCTGCATGGAGAGGAGGGGCTCTCAGGAGGCTGCAACCCTAGACCCCCGAGGGACACAGGTGACAGGAGTGAGCAGCCCTTGTGGGGCCTGCCTTCCACCGCCTGCCCAAAGCAGGGGTGAGTCTAAGAGCCCAGAGCCGTGTGTTTGGAGCCCACCCTGGCACTGGTCAAGCCCCTAGGAAACAGGGACAAGCCACTGCTGCCAAAGAAAAGCCCGGCTGTGGGGCCCACTGTGGGCGTGGACGGCCTTGGCACAGCCAGTGAGGTGCAGTGGCTCTGCAGTGGTGCCCCACACCCGACTAGTGGGGCCTTTAAGGTGACTGCCACTCCCTGTCAGGCTGTCTGAATTTCCATTGTATTTCAGCTGTCTTTGGTACAAAGTTGCCCCTGGCAGAGGGGCCCGAGTCCCCCTGGAAGTAAGCAGGGCATCCATGCCCAGACAAACCCGGGGACTGGGGCCTGCGGACTCGCACTTCCAGTCCCCAGGGCGCCATGGCTCCCACGCGGGCTGAGAAATCCATGCGGAGACCCTTTCCTTCCAACCTTTCCTGCCAAATTCCCAAATCACCTGCCTCCTTTCTCTTATCTCCATCTCCCCAGCTTCCTTCCTCCCTGTCGTCCCCAGCGATAGCCGCAGGGGCCTCCATCGCTCCCCACCCCCACCTCTAGGAGACCGGAGAGAGCTGGAGGAGGGCAGGGGAGGCTTGGACTGCAGCTGCCTGAGGAGCCCTGAGGACCCGCCCTGCCCCACCAGCAGGCCGGGCTGAGGACGAAAGGACGATTCCGGGTACTGTGCCCCAAGGGGCTGGGGCCTGGAGAGCCCAGCAGCGGGCGAGTCTTGGACGCCCACCTCTTCCTGTGGCCGAGGATCTCAGCCCCCAACAGGCAAGGCGGCAGCACTCAGGAGGAGAGAATCGAGAAAAAGACAGTTTTGTTTGGTAGACCAGGTTCAGGAAGGGCGTCTCTGGGAAGGCCCCTGCAGGGGATCGGCTGGGGCCCAGGCTGGAGGTTCTGGGGAAAGCAGCAGCCTCCTTGCAGGAGAGCCCAGGGCGAGCCCCCGGAGACTCCTGCTGGGATGGGAGATGCCCTGGGGGTGGGGGTATCTTCTGCTTCTGAGCCTGGGACCCTTCTTGGGTTCGGGGTGGGCTCCCCAGGGATGGAGAGACACTCAGAGCCGGGCGGAGGCGGGGCCTGGGTTCCGCTCCCCACCCACGGGGCACAGTCCCAGCCTCTGCAGGCAGTGCCCTCAGCTGCCACAGGGAACGATGGATTGAAAAGGAGACTCAGGCCAGTCCCGTGCGCAGGACCAGACGAATGGTTTTATAAATAGGCAAAAGGAGAGTGCCAAGGGGAAGGACATGAGGAGGGAAGACGGCCTGGCTGCCTTCAGCAGGAGCCCCACCCATGCCCAGGGCACCGTGCCTGAGACCCCGCATCTCCCCACCCTCACCGTCTGGGCTGCAGTGGTCACAGCGCGGCTGAGCTACATGTTTCCAACTCGAAAGCACCCCAAACCACTGGCCTCTGCCCCCGAGGAGCACCCAGCTTTCTGCAAATGTTCCCAAGGCCCAGCCTTGCAGACGACAGGGACAGGGGACCTGGGGCCACCCTCCCTTGGCTTGGCCCTTAGCGCCTCCTCTAGGTTCCCTCCCAGCTGGATCCTCCATTCCGCTTTCATTCTGCTTCTGACTCACTAGGGATTCTGCCCCGCTGTTTCCGCGGGACCCTGGGCCGCAGGACAGGTGGGGAGCCACGCTGCCGCAGCCCACGGTACTCTCCAGGTACCGCATCCGTGCCAGAAGGGATGGGGGACTTTGTTTTCTGGTGCCTGCGATGTGTCAGTTCAAGGCCAAACTCGTAGAACAGCGTCCCCTGGGCAGCTGGCTTCATCCCACCCACGGAAGAGGCCGTGGAAGCTTCCAGGCTCTGAGACCCCGGTGTAGGGGGGTCCCACTTCTGCGCAGACCCAAAGTGCTTTGTCATGAAAGCTCACCGAAGGAAAGCTGCGTGGGGGCTCTCTGTGAGGGGGTAATGGGTGGGCTGGGGTCTCAGAGCTGACCCTGGCGAGCTGAGCCCCCTCCCTACTCCCACGCCTGACCCCACCCTTCCTCTGGCTACAGATCCCTCTTGGAAGGGAGGGGTGTCCTTCTCCCTCTGTCCACCTGCCCCTTCCTGGGGGCCACACGCGCACAGGGCCCGTGCCCTTCCTTCTCCTGCGCATGGGGGGAATGCCTCTCCCTAAAGTCACCAAGGCCTATCTGGGGTGACCTCTGGGGTCTCAAGCCTCCAAGTGTCCGAAGGGTCTGACCCCAGGCGTCTGTCCTACTGCTGGTTCCCGGGGCCCCGGGGATAGATCGGCCCGCCTTCTGCCCCACCAGCTGTAGACCCTGCTCTGTGGCCCACCTGCCCACAACAGCTGTCACCAGAGAAAGGCGCCAGGAGAGGCGGGAAGGGGCACGGGGGAGGGGCCAGGCCTGGAGGAGGCTCTAGGGAGGAGAGGGGAGGGGAGGGGAGCAGAGTGAAGGGGAGGGGAGGGAGGAGACACCTGCCTCCCTCCTCTTTTCTCCCCTCCTGTGTCCTCCCTCCTTGTGAAGCATCCTGAGAGCCAGCAGGGGCCACAGGTCTCTCATTGCCCTGCGCTGGTTTTGTCCGAGGGGACGCTGGCGCTCAGAGGGGCAGGGATTCGCCCCCAAGCCTAGACCCAGCACTGCAGAGACTCCTCGGGTGGGTCCGGGTGAGGATGAGGACCCCCGCTCCCACAGTCATGCCCACACTGCCTCCTCCCACCCTGTGAGCACAGGAGAGAGCTTCATCCTCTGCAGCTCTTCCCAGACGGTGTGGGGGTGGCCAGGGGAGGCCCCACCCACGTGGCATCCAGAACTACATCAAGTCTTCCTCACTCAGGGAACCAGCCGGGACACTGAGAGGGCAGGGGCTGGGCCAGTTTTAGCTGTGGCTCCTCGGCCCGCCCTCCCCAGCCCACGGGGAGGCCGGGGCCACCGGCTTCCCCCTGCTCTCCTCTTGCAGAAGGGGGACCTGTTGTAGAGTGAGGTCCCTGTGAGCCACGTAGGGTCTTCAGGGACAGCCAGAGCCTAAGGCACAGAACAGCTTAGGCAGGAACCGTGCCGGGCAAGGGCAGCAGGCCCTGGTCCCAGATCCTATCCTAGGCCCTCCTGGCTCTGCTGTTCTGGTCTCCAAGGGAGTAGCTTTCTTAAACACAGGGCCTTCCCTGCCCTCACCCTCACACCTAGCGTTTGTCACATGCTCCCGATGGGCCCGGCACCACTGGACATCCTCAAACCGGTGGGTGACTTGGAGCCTCTCAGTAGCGCCATTTGTAGACAGGAAACTGAGGCCCAGAGGGCTACGTCATTCTTTAAGGGTTGCCCAGCTCAGAAGGGAAGGGGTGGGTCCTGAGCTCAGCGAATCTGGCCTCGGAGCCCCCAGTCACACCCGCCTCAGCCTCCTGGACTTTCTGGGCCATCTCAGTCAGATGGCCACAGTGACCACAGGGTCTGCTTCCTGCTGTGGCCACACAGAGTTCACAGTCTCCCCAGTAAGTCTGTGGCCTGGGACTCCTCTAAGGCCCACTGAGGGTTCGACTGCTCTTGTCCATGCCCCACTCTCCTGAACTGCCTAAACTCAGCCTCCTCTGCAGGGACCAGCGTGGCAGGAGTGTTGTCCGAGGCCCACAGGGTTGGGCAGAGCCAGCATCCAGCACCTGGCACCCCAGAGGCTATGCCACCTCCCGAAGGACTCTCTGCTCTGGGCTCCTGCTGAGAGAAGAGAGACAGACCCTCTCATATTGTTTTACACTCAGTAAAAAAAAAGAAAAGCGAAACTAAAGTCAGGTAGCCCGGCGCCTAGGAACCAGACCCGAAACCAAAGAACCAGACCAGAAACCAGGCCTGGGCCTGCCTGACCTAAGCCTGGTAGTTAAAATTCGACCCCTGACCTAGCAACTGATATTATCTACAGATTATAGAAAGACATTGTAAAACTTCCCAGTCTGTTCTGTTTCACTGTGACCACTGATGCTCGCAGCCCCTGCCACGTACTCGCTCTTGCTCAATCGATCACAACCCTCTCACGCAGACCCCCTCAGAGCTGTGAGCTCTTAAAAGGGACAGAAATTGCTTCCTCGAGGAGTTCGGCTTTTGAGACAGGAGTCCTGCTGATGCTCCCAGTTGAATAAACCTCTTCCTTCTTTAACTCGGTGTCTGAGGAGTTTTGTCTGTGGCTTGTCCTGCTACATTTCTTGGTTACCTGACTGGGAAGTGAGGTGATTGGCGGATGGTCGAGGCAGCTCCTTCGGCAGCTTAAGTCTGCCCTGTGGAACATCCCTGTGGGGGGGACTCCGACCAACCCGAGCAACACAGATCCTAAGCGTGCTCCCAGGTAGGCATTTGCCCTGGTGGGACACCTCCCCAGAGCAGTGTGTGGCAGGCCTCCGTGGAGGATCAACGCAGTGGCTGAACACCGGGAAAGAACTGGTACTTGGAATCTGGACATCTGAAATACGGTAAGGCCAGTCTTGAGAAGTTGCCCACTCCATTTGGGTGGAAGCATGGCCTGATCACCCACGGCGTGCCTTTATCGGCACTTTGGTTTTGGTTTTGGTTTTGACTTGGTTTGAATTGCTTGACAGGATTGGTCTTGGGAACTTGCCTACTCCATTTGAGTGGAAGTGTGGTCTGATCGCCCACCGTGTGCCTGTACCAGCACTTTGGTTTTTGTTTTTGACTTGACTTGGATTGTTTGATGTTTTGGTTTTGGTTTTGACCTGGCTTGGATTTCTGAATATTCTGATTTTGGTTTTGATTTCGGTTTAGTATAAACTGCAAAAGTGTGCATGTGCCCTTTTTACCTGTTCCTTGTTTTGCAGGGTGTGTGTGGTGTGTGTGTGGTGTGAACGTGGTGTTTTGTCTTGAAGAAGCATGGGTCACGCACAAATAAGCCCACCCTACTAGGAACTATGTTGAAAAATTTCAAAAACGGATTTAAGAGACTATGGAGTACTACGACACCAAGAAAACTTAAAACTTTGTGTAAGATAGACTGGCCAGCATTAGAGGTAGGTTGGTCATTAGAAGGAAACCTGGACAGGTCCCTTGTTTCAAAGGTATGGCACAAGGTAACCTGCAAGCCAGGGCATCCAGACCAGCTCCTGTATATAGACACTTGGTTACAGCTGGTTTTCGACCCACCGCCCCCAACACACAGTGGTTGAGAGAACAGCAGCATAAGCAGCTGGCAAAGGCAAGGAAAGACCAGCTCTGACCCAATCGCCTCAACACACAGTGTGAGTTGAGAGAACAGTAAGCATACAGCTGGCAAAGGCAAGGAAAGACCAGCAAGAGAGAGAGAAAAGAAAGAGACAGAGAGAAAAAGAGAGGCAAAGAGAAAAAAAGAAAGAGATGAGAGGAAGAGACAGAGACAAAGAAGGAGTTTTAAGGAGGGAGAGAGGACAGAAAGAGGCAGAGAGAGAGAGGAAGAGACAGGAGGCAAAAGGGAAGTCAAAGAGAGAGACGAAGTCAAAGAGGAAAAAGAAGAAAGAGATATACAAGTAGTGAAGAAAAAAAAAAGTCATCTATACCAATTCTAAGTTAATTTGGACAAAACAAGGTCTTACTAATAGCAAAGGATAATTAAAATCCCCAACTTACAAGGTTTTCAACAAAAGTAAAGTTTGCTAAAAGTTA